TTCGTGGTCACACTGAGGTTGTCAGCAACTAATTTTTTGTTTTGGATTTACAATATTCATTACAAATCTGTGATCCGGTGACAAGGAGTTGTTAAGAAATAGCCGTAACACTCCACGCACTTTCAAACGCATTCAATACATCAGACGAAAAGGTAATCCTATTTTATATCTCTTGACGGACCTATATATCCACGTTCTTGCTTCAGTTTTAGAACATCAGTTCAATATCCAAGAGAACACCTCAAAATGGATCATCAGCTCTGCCTGAGTTGGAGCCAACACCAGTCTACTCTGATCGGGGTGTTCGAGAACCTGCTGGGCAACGAATCCCTGTCCGATTGCACCCTCGCCGCCGAGGGAAAGTATTTGAAGGCCCACAAGCTGGTGCTGTCGGCCTTCAGTCCCTACTTTGCGGTGAGTATTCCATCTTCTAGATCAGCAGAAGTACCCTAATCGATTAAAGTCCCATCCGCACAGACCCTACTGAAGGAACAGTACGACAAACACCCCATCTTTATGCTGAAGGATGTCAAGTACCAGCAACTACATGCCATAGTGCTCTATATGTACCGCGGGGAGGTCCATATTCCGCAGAACCAGCTGGCCGACCTCCTTAAAGCAGCCGAATCGCTCCAGATCAAAGGTCTCCAGCAGGAGGATCACCAAAAAGAATGCTCTCCAAACAAGCGGAAGGATATATCTGGCAGTGAGGAGGGCATGTCACTTCGCCCTCGAAAAGTCAGTCGCCTCACGAACAAGGGTAAGATCTGTGATCGAACTTAACCATAATTATGTGGCCCTAATAGCTAAAAATGTATATTTCTTTGCCGAGATCAATTTATAAATAGGCCAATTTTCTCTGTCAATTTAAAACGAGAACGAAAGTTAAGTTCGGCATGCCATAGTTGTAATTACCTAGTAAATGTTACGAATTAAGTCTGACAGCTATAGTCGATCTGCAAGAACTTGTACTTTTAAGTACTTTTAAAAAATGTTTTTGGAGGGTTTAAAAAAAAATTAAAGTTAAGACTTGTGTTGTGAAAGTTAAATTTAAAATTGTTTTTGTAGTTGAATTGTAGCCCACGCACCGCGAATTTCGCCCAAGAGATTTCGGTGACAAACCATTACATTAACTTATAAAGTCGGAAACGTCTTTGCATTACAAAAAGTCTGACAAAAATTATAATATTTTTTGCTAGGGTGAAAAACGATCTTCCTTGCAAAGTATTTATATTCGTAATATTGTTCCCTTTATTGTAGACGCCTCCAAACGTTCAACCTCCATAGAAACTATAGAACTCCCAAACCAAGATACCTTGGACTACTCGATAGATTCCAAGCCTGAGTATGATGAGTTTGAAAATACTTGGACTATGAGCGAGCCGATGACAATCCAGCAGGATGAAGACCAGGAAGAACTCACTGAACAAAATCAAAGGGAATTCGCAGATGTAGATCCATTTATGGATATACCAGAAAATTCAACAGCTTTGGTTGAGGAAATTAAAAAACTTAGAAAGGATATTAAGGATCTGAAAAAAATTGTGACAGTTAACAACCCCACGATTTTGGAGGGGGTCTCAAAGATCCCAAATATTTTGGTGGAAGTCACAAAGTTAAGTGAAATCCCGAAAAGTATTTTTCCTATTGCATCATTCGATGCTTTAGACAACTTTGAAGCGGAATTGGAAGGTAGTTCAAGCAAATATATTCCAATGTTCAAGACATTGCTGCTCCCTGGCGGAATTTCAAAGAACCTGAAAAGAGTAGTTTCCGACAAATTGCTTTTCCAAATGAATTATGCTGGAATAAAGGATAGAAAAGGCTTCGCAGTATATACACACTTACTTAACGCCCTTTTCGAAGCTGTAAAAGAGGATGACTATACATGGAATGATTTTAAAAAGGACTGCCGAAAGTCGATTTATAGAATTAAAAATAAGGTATATAAGAATAACCATTTCGCCAGAAAGAAGATCCAATCTGAGTTCACCGACACTGAAATGTATTAATATGTTTCTCGACTTAAATTTAAATATTCTTTATGTTCTCAAATATTTATTACCTATCTATACTTTTTGACTGTTAGTACAAACCAAATCAACATCATTTGGATAACACGTGGAATGAATAACATCATTGTTATCAATAATATGTAAGCCTGAAATATATAATATATTACTTTATTTTTTGTATGAAACAATAAAACAAGCCGGTGGCTTGAATTTTCGTTAACCTAAAAGTAACAAATGTTGTTTTGTACGTCCACTTGATTGAACTTTTCCCATTTATTTTGAAAAACACAGCAACTGAAAATATTTTTTTGTGAAAAATAAAAAGTTATTCCGCATAGACTCGCACATAGTCAATGATCATGGCGCTTTGCCTGCCCCAAGTGGGGGCCCAAGCATCGCGATGTTGCCAAAAAGAGAGTGCAGCCCGCGGTTCCCTATTCTTATAAGGCTTAACATCCTTGGCTAATACACTGTCATCGAAATTGAGGAACCCGCCTACTGTTACTCCAAAAATAATAAAGCACTTCTCGTTGAAGAATGGCAATCCATCGTACAGCTCTCCGTAGACTTCCTCATCTACCATCAACGTTATTTTATCCCTTTGCCAGATCATGGTATAGTTGTGGAAGTCATCGCCATAGTGGGTCGTGCTCAGCCGATCTTTTAGAAACTGAACGGGGTTACCATGATGCCAAACCACACTACCACCATAAAGATGGTTACCGGAGATATCATCTCCTTGTTTGGTGCGCAAATTGGCGTTACCCCGGGCGTAAGCAATTCCTGCATATGATAAATAGAGTAAGAAATATTGAAATAAAAATAAATTACTACTGTGGGCAAAAAGTAAGGTGAATTTGTTTGTAAAAAGAACAATATTTTTTCAATCTTCTGAATCTTCATCCCCTATAAAGTAATCCCCTCCCGATAAAATACACTTATGTATGTCTGGATTGTTTCCAATTCTCGAAACATGCCAAACAGTCCCTTCCTTTCACCACGGAAATAAAAAAAGAACAAATTCACCTTACTTTTTGGCCAAGATATTTATCTAAAATCTGTTAAGACCACTTTTAGGATCATATGATATTTGAAACTTACGCAATTGTTTGGCATAGTGAGTCTCCGCGTAAGTGGAAACAGGTTGAAGCATTAAGTCTTGAAAAAATTAAGAATTAAAAAAAGTGTATCAAGACAAGTTAATATACTTACAGGGAAAAAGCCAATCTCCCTTGGGCAACTTAGCTCTCACCACGATCTTGCCGAACTTAAAACTGAATGAATTTCGTGTGTGAATTTGAGCGGAGAAGACTGGGGGTTTAATGCTGTAGAAACTGCCTTGGGCAATATTGCACTCCTGATCCGGACTTTCGATGGCCGTGCAGCGGTCTCCGAGCTTGAAACTGCCATCGGATACCTCACTGGCCACGATGGGAACGATGTGGAGTTCGCCTTCTTTCACAAAGGAGTTTCGAGCTGCATCGTCGAAGGCCACCAGCTCCTCTTCCACATGGTACATGCGCTGGCTAAAATGAAGTACTAATTCTTACTAAATCTTTTTATGTTGATTAAACTAATTTTGTATACCGAATGTCATGCTTCCAGGTGGACCTGTTCAGCTGAGCCTCCGAAAAGTTGTCCTCGAAGATGAGCTCACCCTGGCAGGTGCGGCGACCGTGACTGACGATTGTTTGGGCGGGCTTGCAGCGTTTGGCTTGTTGTTTTGTTTGTATCAAGGCCTGGCACTCACCCTCTCCCGAAGGAAAGGTAATGGCTCGCGATTGGGCATCCCTGGTGGTCAGGACCCGCTTGTTGATAATCACAATAGTTTCACTTTTTTCAAAGATCTCCTCATTGTATTGCACCAGCAATGAAATCTGCAGTTTGTCGTTGTTCTGGAGACTCGTTTTCTGTTTGGTTACCCAGGTTCCGTTTACGGCCTCCGTGATATAGTCCATTAAAGCCGGGCAAGTGTCGTCTATTTGGAGCATGTAGAACACGCGCTCTATGCCAGGTTCATCTAAAAATATCAATTATTAAAAAAAGGAAACCAAATACCTAATACCTTATTAATAATTATTCTGTGATAGGCCTCATAAGTTATGCATATATATATTATATTTGATCGGGCTTCAGAGTTCAACTTTTTCCAAGAGCAAACCATAAATGAGTAAATAACTATGTACGAGTACATGTAAATATGATGAGATCTATATTTATTTGCGAAGAGTGAAATGCATTCTTTGTTTATAAATTTTTAAATGTGCATTTTGTTTAACCATTGTAAACGGCCAAAAGTATGCCTGTTTTAGTTCTTATTATTATTTTTTCAATCATTCAATTTCATTTAATCGCTTTTAATGGTAGATAAGAGCTTTTTCGATATGAGTAACTTGTCCCGTTGAGTTGAGATAACAAGTATTTAGCACCAAAAATATTTCATTTTCACCTGGAATGGAGACCTCAAATCCGAGTTCATCCAGCATTTCAAAATCAATGCTGGGGACCTTAAACCCCAATATTTGAGGGCTTGAAATAAGCAACAACACACATGGTAGAGCTGTCCACCCCATGACGCAGTTTTAATTGCTTTTAGTACATGTACTAACTAGAATGCGATTAACGTATTATTCTGAGAAGCTCTGTGGTGGGACTACTGCATCAGATTGAAAATCTTGATCTTGAAAGCTTGCACCGGTTGAAGCTTCTCTTAATCACAACTGCACTCGTATTAAAATATTTTATGAACTTAACAAAAAGTGACATTTACATACGAACTTGCATCAACAATTTTTAAAATAAATTTTTAAATTAATTCAATTTATTACAAGTTAATATATCTTAAATTGTTGTTTTAAAAAAGGGAAACATTTTTTTATTTTAAATAATATTTTCTAAACGTGTAAGCCGAGCTTTTGTTATCTCATCAGCTGTTTAAACTTTCAGTCGAAGGTGGATCACTGAGAGGAGTGTTGTTAGAACTAAGGTTTCGGGGTCTATGGGCTGTTTATAAAATGTCTAATTCCCAGAGAAGCCAGATCGCAGCCGGAGCTGATATGAAAGTGGATTTGCATGCGCCGAATCGCGATTGTCCGGACCAACTTAGAGTAAACAAATAATAATCGCCCAGCACCAACGGCAGAAACCGGTCTGCCAGTGAGATAGAGACACAGGCTGAGTCAGAGGCTTCGGATTCTTGGGGATTAGTGCGGAAATCGAGGATTCAGAATGCCAGGATTGTGCCTAGGAATAGTCCTGCTAATTGGATTTGGATACACCAATTGCTACAAGATCCCCACACCCACGGTAGAGCTTCTAGAGAATGGATTTAGCATTTCTATTCCAGGTAAATATGAGGGGAACTTTTTTCCTGTCTCACGTTTTTCTTTTTTTCTTGCTATTTTATTTTTTTTCTTCTATTTTTATCACACCTAGATGAAGAAGGCGTCAAAGTGGTGGCTTTCAATGTGAATCGCAATCGGAACTTTACTTCCTTTATTAACGAGGGACAGTATAACGTGAGACTTGTAGAACCCGAGAATGGCAGGTGGACGAGTAACTTCAGTTCGGTGCCTTTGAGAGCCCAGGATATTCTATATCTTTGGACAAGTGTGCAGCATCAAAGAGCTGTGTACCAGGATCTAGCGCAGCCCCTGGCTGTCTGCAATCTAGGTGGAAACTACCGACCCAGGGGTTGTTCTCCCAATGATGATGATTTCACTGATGACAATCAACTGAGTACTGAAGGGAGTGCACCGGAATCTTCAGTTCCCTCCGTTTGTGAACCTTCTGAAACTCAGGTTTCCCCACAAATAGGTATTCCCATCTGTAAGGGACAACTTATGTTTGAGGAGACATTCGATCAGCTGAATGAATCTCTGTGGAATCACGATGTGCGTTTGCCCTTGGACTCCAAGGATGCGGAATTCGTCCTGTATGATGGGAAAGCTAGAGCTCAGGATGGACACCTGGTGATCGAGCCGCTCCTTTGGTCCAGCTATCGCCCGGATCTGTCCATATCCAATTCCAGACTCGATCTCTCGGAGCGCTGTACGGGAACCCACAACCGACTTAAGGAATGTGTGCTGCATTCGCTGGGTAGTGGACCCAGTGGAATTATGCCACCCATCGTAACCCCTCGTATTAACACCAAGGAAACCTTTGCCTTCCAATACGGACGGATTGAGATTCGCGCCAAGTTACCGAAAGGGGATTGGATAGTAGGTATTATTATAAAATATCCTAGCTATACTAAATGTTTTTGTTACGCTTTATTAGGTACCTCTTCTACTACTTGAACCTTTGACAGAGTGGTACGGACAATCGGGCTACGAATCCGGGCAGCTGCGTGTGGCCTTGGCCAGAGGTAACTCCGTGCTGAGAATGCCTCGAGGAAAGCTGGTCGATGGTAGATCGTTATATGGAGGTCCAGTACTCTCCACAGATGCCCATCAAAGGGAGGACTTGTGGCTGAGCAAGCGAAAGATTTCCCACTTTGGTGATGACTTCCACGTATACAGCTTGGACTGGAGCAGCAGTCGAATGTTGTTCTCAGTTGATGGACAAGTCTACGGGGAGATGCTCAATGGTTTTACGGAATTGGACGAGAATCCCAGGTGGAAGCAAGGCGGTCCCATGGCCCCATTCGACAGGATGGTGAGTGGATTATCTAATCTAAATTAAAGAATATCTCTATATTTTAATAATATCTACCCCATTAGTTCTACATATCTTTGGGTCTATCTGTTGGCGGTTTTGGCGACTTTGTGGACAGTCTGCGCACCGCCACCTATGAGAAGCCTTGGACCAACTACCATCCCCAAGCGAAGCTGCAGTTCTATCAGGCCCAAGATCAGTGGCTTCCTACATGGAAGCAGCCATCTTTGAAGATCGATTATGTGCGTGTCTTTGCCAACTGATTCATATCTCTATCCATCCTATTATAATTACATAGTAGTGTATTTATATGAATGTGCCACGCAGATTCTTATCGCGAATAAAGCTCTGAGCTGAACTCGGAAAACCCCATTGATTAAGTCTGCTGATGCTAATCTGAAATGAGACTACATTTATCATTAATAGAAAGCTTACTGGTCGGCATCCTTAGATTCTGAATGAGAGGATGACATATTTGGAAAACATAAAATGCGGTGTGGACATATAGGATGTTTTAATCCAAATTCTAACTGGCTGATCCACTTTCTTTCATCGGAAACAAGTGCTGGGATTACTCATAATCTTCTACTTTTTCCTAAGCATTTGATTTGAAAACACTCTTGACTGATGTGATAGTCTTCTTTTATGGCTAATTACACTCCGATTATGATATTTACTACGAGCTAAAAGGTTTTGCCATTGTTCTTTTTGGAACCATTATTTCGTGAGTTCTGGTTGGGTTTCTTTCGGCGCTTATCGGACGACCAGTCCACGTCGTCCTCGTCATCGGTGCCCCCGGTATTTCCAGAAGAGTGCAGGTGGGCGGATGAGGCGCCCTCTTTGGTGGCCAGGCGACGGGAGGCGATCCGCGACGATATGCGGCCCATGCCCATGCACTTTTCGAGGTGCGGAGCGAAGCGGGCGGCGGCCACCAGGCGATCACAGTTGGGACAGGTGCAGTCCATCGGCTTCTTGGCCGTGGATATGCCGAATATATCCAGGTTGGGCATCTCGCATATGCGGTACGTCGAATCCTCCGGCACTCCGTCCAAGGCGGCCAGATTGCCGGATTTTCGCAGGTGATGTGTCTCGATGAAGATCCCGGCCACGGCGTCATCGAGCAGTGTCTGGTACAGATAGTTGGCCGCCTCGTCTAGATTCTTGGGATCCTTGATCAGCTCCCGGAAGTTGCTCACGATGGCTGTGCTGGTTGTGGGAACTTGATTTCCCGATCCCTGAGCTCCTGGCGTTGTGGGCATGTTGGCTGCAGACATAATATTCGATGCAAATACTATATTATTTGCTTCTTGGTTACTTCCTATCTGAATTGGAAGATTTGTTTGGCATGCCGGTTGTTGTTGGTGAAAAAAGTTCCTAATTGCAGATTTGTTTGTTCTACACGGCTGTTTGCAAAATTGGAGAGTTGCCAGAAGGTAGCCGGAAAACATCTGAGGGAACTAGTTCCAATCAGGTGTTAAGTTCATTTAATGGAATGAAAATGGAATTGTGAGCTGTCTATAATTATGATTTCATTACACTTTTTATTGCACATCTTTCAAAGTTCTTGCGAATAAACCGTTGCTTGGAAATGAACTAGTTACTTTTCAAACAAACCCAATCTGGCAACGCCTGGGTAAAAGTGCTTATCTGGTCACACCAAACATGGCAACAACAAATGTTTTAACCAAATAAATTAAAAATAACTATTTTCTGTATAAAATGCTGCTAAATAAAAAGAACCTCATGTACAAACAGCTAGTGGAAAAGCTGTACGACAAATGTCAGAAGATACAAGCGGAAAATGAGCGCTGTGTGATGAGGTAAGCAGCAAAGTCGGTGCTCTACGAAAGGTAAACAAACATGTGGATTACTCATTTTCCAGGGTAAACGGAATTAAAAAGATAGTGAGAAGGCGAAACCACGATGTGGAAATACTGAAAAGGCGACTGGACAAGCACGGAGACGACTGGCGCTCAGTTCCCATGGTGGTACCGCATCCCAAGGGAAAAACCGAGCAGAAACGCCGGGGACCCAAACCCAAAAACAAACAGGCGGCAGATGGTACGGGAGCTCCCGGATCCGAACCTGGATCCAATCCTCCAGTACCTCGTAAACCACGAAAGCAAAAAGCCAAACCGCCACCAACAACCTTTAATCCAATAGTCCCGCCTCCACATCCACAACCTCAACTTGGAACCTGAACTTAAGCTATTCTCTGGCACATTCTATTTTTAAGAACAAAAACTATTAAATGTACTTTATTATTAAGTTAAATAAAAACTATACCATTGTAAACGTTAATGATGCAAATACAATTAAATAAGGCGAATCATACCAATCTTATTATCTCGTATTTGGTTAGATTTGACTAACCCCATTTATGTTAAAATTAATTAAAATTGCTCATAAATTACTGTACATAGATTTTTTTATTAAAAGCTTTTAACAATCATCTATAAAAAATGTTGCAAATTTAAGATTTTCAAGACCTGTTAAAATGGAAGCAAACCAAAATGTATTTCTTAGGCAAACATATATTTAGAAATTCCTTTAAACGTGGATGTTCAATCACTATATTCCACATACATATAAATTAAAACCACATTAATTTCACAAACCCGTGTATAGAGCACACCAAAGAAGTCAATTGATTATAAAACCTCTGGAGATTCGTGACGCATCCGTATATACAATAGCGAAATTGTTTATGTGCACCTGACAAACCTTTTCCCTGCTTTGGGATTACTTATCAGCTGTTCATAGTGCAAATCCATGTAAAAGCGAAGCATTCTCAATAACTGAATTTATACTTAATATATTTTGGATGTATGTACTTAATTGCTAAAACAGGGAAATTCAACGGGCAGGACTTCGCACTTCTATTCAGCCTGGCGGAGGCGTGCCAGTCGCTGGGTAAGCTCGTCCTGCTCCTGGGAAACGGCCGTGGAGGCTCCGACGGACTGACTCTGGACTCCACTGGGCAGCTCCATGTTGAGCTCGAGGCCAGCCTCGTCGGCCACTTGCTGGAGCAGATTGTCGACATCGCCCTGGGGCACCGAGGTGGTCACCGTGTCGGACATGGTGCCCTCCATCACGGAGCTCTGTACGTCCAGGTCCTCGAACTGCGACTCAAACTTTTCCATCAGCGAGGAGATTTTCTCCAGGTTCATGCCCTTCATCGCTGCATCCATGGCCTTGACCACGCCTGCCATGGAGCCGGTGACCTTGCGGGTGGTAAGGGCGGACTGGACCCTGCTGGCCACCGCGTCCACGCGGGCACTCATCCGGAGGTAGTTGACCGCCTGGTTCTTCTGGCGAATGGCGTTCTCTGCGTGGATGCGGGCCACGTCCATGTTGCCCTTTTGAATGGCCTTCTTGGCCTTGACCTTCTCCAGCTTCTCCTCCTTCTCACATTTTTTGGAGTTCCGCTCCAGCTCCTTTACGGCAAACTTTAGATTGAAGAGGTGTTCTACGGGCGGAAAAAGGGGTGTGAGTGGTCAGTCATTGCAAATTCTTTGTCTGGCGTCATCGCTCCGCTCCACTTACTTTCCATTGAACTCGTAGACATGTCGTTACCCAGCTTGATGAATTTACACTAGCAAATGAAGAGGCGAAAGAGTTTCTGGCAGTTGGTTTCCAACTTAAACGAGAGTTTTATCAATTTACGTTGTTTTTATTGGAGGTTTCGTATGAATCACTTTATTGGTGTGACCAGACGTGGGGAATACCCAACTAACAGCTGTTTCCCTGATTTTAGTGCTGTTAGGCGCTAATGTTAGTTCTGTTAAATATTCAAATTGGACTGTTACTTTTTAGGACCTCTGTAATTGTTTATTTTTAAACCATTTAAATCATTGTTGAAAATAGATAATGAGAGATAATGTTTTAGAAGTAGATTGTATTGTATTACGGTGATGCGTATTAATTTCATTATTTGAAAATCTACAGACTCAAGTGTACTGATTTCCTAATTAAAAATAAATAGGACATAGTGCATCAATTTGACTGAGTAGTAGGAGTAGGAGTACTGAGTGCTGAACATTTTTAATAAAATAAATAGATAATCTTATGTTTATATAAGAACAATATTTTAATATTTCAAATCAGTAAATTTAAAATTTAGGGGAATTCTAGGCATATATATAAATGTGCATTTAAACGGGTTCTCTATTGGGTGTTTATATTCTATCTTAAAATTTCGGACCAAGTTGGACAACGTAAGTTCGAGTTCAAGATCCACGATTCTCTTGCCCACACACAAGCGAGGTCCAAAACCAAAGGGTAAGTATATGAAGGAACTCGTGCTCTTGTTCATGAGGACATCCGAACTGTCCTCTTTGTCATCTTTCTGGCGTAACCAGCGTTCCGGAATAAATTCTTTTGCCCGAGGATATATCCGCTCATCGTTTAGTAGAAAACTGTTGGTCATAATTAGATGTGTGCCTTTGGGAATTCGGTAACCCTCAAGAACTACATCTGCTCCTGCGGATCGGACATTTGCGAAGGTCACTGGATACACACGCATCGATTCCTTGATGAATGCCCTTAAATATGGAAGAGATTTCATGTCCTCCAAAGTAAAGTCCCTATCCGGCGAAGGTAATTTGCTTAGCACTTCCTCCCTGAGCTTTTGCTGCTTCTCCGGATTCTTGGCCAGGTTAAGTAATAACCCCGAAATGGCCGAAGTGGTTGTATCCACTCCTCCAATTAGCATGTCCATGGCCATAACAGTGGCGAGTTTCCTATCAACTTGCAGCAACTGTTCCAAAACACTTTTATGATCCTTTGAGCTGCCTTGAGCCGATTTCTTCTCAATCCTTTCTATAGCCTCATTTACGTACGTCGAACAAGTGTCGAAGAGTTCATCCATGGCCTGACTAAACTTTCTGTAAGTGGGTGTGGAAATATACTTGTATATCGAGGGTCTGACGCCCAGGACAAAGAACGATTCCATGAGGATCTCAATATTCTTGAACAGTTTCCTGGCCTCGGGAGGCTGATTTGTATCGCGGAGGAGTCCCAATTCTTTGTCAAGGGCCACTGTCGCCACCGATTCGAAGGTCAGCTGTTTCACGCTGTTTAAAAAGTCGTCGGGCACTTCTTGGGATTCCGGGTCGCGAATTTCCCGGATGTGTTGGACAAACTGATGATTGACCCGCTGCATCGGTTTCAGGTAGACGGCCACATTGCGATGTTGCATGAGGACAGGGTTCACTGCGCTTCTGTGTTTTCCCCAATCGGCGCCACTGAAATGGAAAAAGAAGTAAATCATTTTTGAATAGGAACTCGATGAGTTTTTAAACTAAATTTTGTTATAAAAAGGTTTTGAATTTGTATTGATATATTTATTTAAATTTAAATTATTTTGTTACTAACTTTCCAGAACAAAATGTGACCTACATATTGTACATCTTGTGTAGGTCACTTTTCTTCAGACATTTTTGGTTTATATAATACCATTATTTTTGGTTTAAATACATAAACATAATATTATTAAGTTTAAAATTGTATGTTGATAGCTCCATATTAATCTTATATTGTATATTTTGGGGTAAGTTTACCTTATATATTTTTACTCACTTGCTGAACAAACCAATGCAATCCTTGAAGAATTTATCCTTTCTATTACTACGGTAGTGGATGACGGGTTCGGAGCCACCTCTGATGGGCCACTGGCCTTCGGTGCGATAGACCCTCTCAAAGGTTTCCTCATTGAATAACACCACGGTAGAGGGCATGCCGAATAGTCCCGGAACCAAGCATATGTCGTCAAATTGTTGTTTATGCAGGCGCATCACTTCATTCATTTCCAGTTTATGGTACTGCCCGCCCTTCTGGAAGCCGCGAAACAATTGCCACCGTGTCGGTCCCGGAATTTCCTTGAAGGGCTTTGCGGTTTCCCATTCCGACTCGATCTGCTGCACGTACGAGGATGCCTCCGGATTTCTGGTGGCGGCCAGCTGGGAGCTGGCCCTCAGGGCCTGCTTCACTGTAATAACACGCAACATGGTCAAGATCGCTCAGTAGAATGATTTTTTAATGGTACAGAACTAATCACGACACCTTGCTTCAATTGCTTTTGAGTAATTACACCAGGTTTGGCAACAAATGAGAGAGCATTCCTTATCTTTGCGCTTTTCGGAAAGCTTTGCTCTTGAGATCGCATCTACGGCATTGTTTGCTTTTAAACAATTACATATAAACATTTTGTTTACAAGCTATACACCAACTTTTTCCGTATATAGATACCATAAAACATCAATGAAAGTTTTAAAACAAAAATTTTTTATTGACGGCAAATATAAGAAATTTTCGAGGTGAAGGTGACTTACTCTTTTTTTATTTTTAAAAGGCAAGTCAACTAAAGTCATACAACATACATATTGACGGCAAATATAAGAAATTTTCGAGGTGAAGGTGACTTACTCTATTTTTATTTTTAAAAGGCAAGTCAACTAAAGTCATACAACTGAAACCATAAATACAAAATATAAGATTAGAACATATAAGACGATTACTATAAAATGTTAAAGTAATGATAATAAAATAATATTATTTTATTTGAAAAATAAATGTTTATAGTCCCCGTTATAAGATCATTTTTAAAACTCAAACGGTTATTTAAATTTTCATTATATTGTTTTGCTGCATACGGAAATTTGTCCTTCAAAATTGTTAAATACAAAAGTTCCTTATACATTTAACAGACTTCGTAATAATCAATATTACTTTAGGAGCATTACTGTAGTTTTCCAATAGATAAACAATAAGTGGCTTAAATTAGGTTTCGCGGATTAAGCTCATTTGGCAATTTCGCTGTTCCAGATAGTGCCAGTGCATGGTTCTATTCATCCCACACCACCCTTTTTCGCCATCTATCAATAAAATATGAGTCTCAAACGCTTGCACTGGAACACAGAGGACAAAAGCAAAACGCATTTTATGTGCATTTCAAAAACAATAAACCAAAACAAAAGGGCCAAATCGGCCGAGCACACAAACACTCCAGCGAAGGGTTAAATCCGAAACAATAGGGCGAGGGGCCCATTGTTTTGGGGAACTTTGCGGAGCACTCGACGCCCCCCAGTACCCACACCAATCCCAACTGACCACCAGAATGTATTACATATTAAGTCTGATAACACGTTACCAGCTTAAATTATAGTCCAGGCCCTTTATAGCCACAACCACGCCCGAAACCACTTGGCCAAAATAGGTAGTATACGTACGTAAACAACAATTTGCCTCGACTGCTATCCACACGTGCAAGGGTGCACATGCACCAGGTATCACTGTCCTTCATCAGGACTGCAAGTGTAGGGTGTG